TCCATCTCCTGGTGGAAAGATGACATCCAATCTTATTTCAGATTTTTATGAGTGAATGATCTCTAGACTGAAGACACTTCCCTCTGGTGCAGTATGAAAGGGTAACTTCTCAAAATCCTTGTGTGTTTTGGGACACAGCAATCAGGCTGTCTGACAATGGGCACTGCTGACACCACATCACTCCAGCAGCTACGTCCTGTTCTCTACTTCCTTAGGACTTTCAGTTCAGGACTGGCATTCAGTCTTCACTACCAAGGCCCTCTTGTGAGCAGGATGTCAGGTACTTTCCCCTCCCACTGAAGAACTAACCTCACTGTGCTTTACAGACTCCTGTCCCTTGTGCTTTTGCTGTGGACCAGCTAAGGCAGTGCTGGTCTAGAGAAGAAAGAGGAGCTCAGTCTCACTCCTGGGCTCCTGAATCTCTCTCTTGCTTTTGAACCCCAGATTGGTGCCTGGCAGCCAAAAGACCCAACAATGTGTCTCAGGACATCAGACCCCTCTGCACAGTGGTACCTGTGTTCACAGGTACAAGGCAGGTGCTAACTTCCTATCTGTGTCCTAAGATCCTGTTTGGTGGATACTGTGGGAGCACTGGGACTAGGAAAACAAAGTTAAGACATTTCTGAAATGCTGACTTACAGGTTTGAAATTAATAACCTCTGTCAGTAGTGATACAACAGCACAGTCCAACAACACTGAGAGTGATGGATATGGCCGTGAGAAGTAGAAAATAAATTCCCTTGTCCCTCTCCTCTGCCCTCCTGGATCACAGCACTCCTTCAAACCACTAAGTCCCAGAGATCCCACCAGGGGCCAGCCTCTAAACACACTGGTCACCAAGAAATAGGCAGCTGAGCTGCTGCTGCTGCTGCTGGTGATCATGCCCTGCGAGCCTGCCGGATTTACGCCTGCCACAAACGCCATCCATCAGCGATAGCTGCGGGCAGGCCTGCGCCGCTCCACGGAGACAGAAGGATGCTCTCCAGATGCTGCTAACAGGTTGGTGCCCTCCAGGCAGCGCTGGGCAGAGGCTCGGCCTAAATCTGTGCGGGGCACAGGGGATGCCCCAGCGCCGTGCACGAACTCCCTGCGCCGTGCAGAAACACCCATCCCTCTCCTCCGAGCGGCACCAGACGCGGCGCCTTCCTCCCGCCAGAACTTCTCGGCGGGATGGAGACCACAAGCAATCCCCTTGTGCTCCGTTTTCGGCAATGCCCACGGCCCCCGCTCCCGGGGTCCGGCCACGCCGCCCAGCGCGGCGGGAGGAGCGGTCCCTGGGCTGCGGGATGCGGGGAGCGCTCCCCAAGGGAATCCCGGTCCCCGCCGCATCCATCTTGGTCCAGCGGCACCGGGAGCCCCAGGCCCGGCCCCGCGCCCCGGCCCGCCCGCTCCCGGCGCCGCTCACCCGTGCGGGGGTCGAAGGTGACCACGAAGACGGCCACGATCTGGTCCTCCTCCGCCTCGGCCCGCTGCGGCCCCGCCGCCTCCGCCGGCCCCTCGCCGTCCCACGGAGCCGCGCTCCAGCCGCCGCCGAGCCGCCGCCCGCCGCTCCCGCCGCCGCCGCCGCTGCTGCCCGGCTCGGCCGCGGGCGGCGGCGCCGACACGGCGGGGCCCTCGGCCCAGAACAGCAGCGGCGCCTCGTCCGAGCGCTCCACCATGGCCGGGCCGGGCCGGGCCGAGCCGAGCCGAGATGAACTGAACCGAACAGAGATGAGCCGGGCCGAGCCGAGATGAACCGAACCGAGCCGACCGGGGCAGAGATGAACCGAGCCAAGCCGAGCCGAGCCGAAGCGAGCGGAGCCGAGCGGAGCCGCACCCCCCGCGCCGCACCGGCGGGGGGCGGGAAGCGAGGGGCGGGAGCACGGGGGTGTCACCGGCGGGGCGGGGCCGGGGCAGCCGGAGGAGATCCCGGCTCGGAGCTCTCCGGTGCCGGCTCCGGGAGGAACTCGGGGGCTGTGGACAGCCCGCCTGCCCGTGCCTCACCTCCTCGCTCCGCCTCCTGTCCCCCCAGGCTGTGACAGCAACGCCGAGCAGCTGCCTCCCCCAGCCCCGGCAGAGCCGTCCTGCTGGGAAAGCCGCGGGAACTGGGCAGAGCAACGGGGGCAGGCTCGCACCCCTCACATGGCTGTGGTGGCAGCTGCGAGCCACAAATCTGAAGGAGTCAGGGATACTGGTCCAGTATTAGTACACTGGTGTATGTGTACACACACACACACACACACACACACACACACACACATATATATATTTACACATATATGAACATATGTGCTACAGAAGGATGTGAAACAGTTCTGGGTGGAAGAAGCAGATTGAAAGATGGGGGCAGAAGCATGACCAAGGCATCTCCAGTCAGCCAACTTCTTGTAATTACCGTCCTCCTTATGCCACCGCCAATGTCATTAAGTGTCACTAGGATTAACTTGGTTCCCTAGGTCTTTCTGATTAATTGAATTGCCCAATTAAGCAGGCCACAATTAAAAGGAAGATACTGCCATAAAAGCCTTAATTGTCGAACTTTTTTCCTGTTGAGCAGTTCTGAGTGCTCAATACCCCATTAAGAAACCCATCATCCAGTTTCCTCAGCAGTGGGGTTTGGGTTTTTCTCTTTTTTTTGGTAACATTAGCATCCATTTGCTGTGAGCTTCATTTCAGACAGCTCCAACACTGAGTGGGCATTTTGTTTCGCAAAGCCCATGCACAAGTTTACTTTGCAGAGCTGTAGACCAGAGTAGGTGGTTTTTAGCAGATGGAGTTTTTCATAGAAGGTGATTGGTAAAGAAAAAAAGAAACAAACCCTGCACAATATTTTGTTACTGTGTAAAGAAAAGCCAGATTCTGCAAATACTTGGCCACATGCTTTGCTTTAACTGTATAGACAGTGCCAATCTTCATTTGGATGAATATATTTTTGCATATTGGTGATGCTGAAGTGACAGCTCGTTTCTATCTTCATCTCCACAGTAGTGCTGCTACAAATGTCAAGTGTCTGTCCCCCAGCAATCCAGGCAGGAAATAAATCCCAAATAAGAATTTCTTCAGGACCCACACAAGCTATTTGTGGTGCAGAGCTGTTCCTGGTCCCCTCAGCAGTGCAGTCACACCAGCATTGCCCCAGCATGAGGGAGGGGATGCAGTGGGAAGAGCAAGCAGTGACAGGGAGCAGGGGCTGCCAATGCTGCCTCTGAGATGTGAGAAACATCATCATGCTCTGAGCTCCCAGCTTTGCTGAAAAACCCATGGGACAAGGGACCTGGATGTACCAGAGCAATTGATATGGCTTTGGCCAGCAATCTGGGCCTGCTGAGGGCACACTCTTTGCTGGATGCATGCATAAAACAAAGGCCACATTTTCTACTCTTTTATTATTTCACCAAAATTGAAATTATTTAGGCACCTGTTAGAAATAAAAACTGTACTTCAAAAGAAAATGAACACCTTTTCCCTCCAGCTGAGGGCTCAGGAAGTTGTCATCAGGTCTTTGAACAGTCAGGTAAAATATAAATGAAAGAGTGGTAGCTTTTATTTTTAAAATGCAAGATGAACAAGCTGGACTCTCTTTACACAGCAGGTCCAAGTTTTCTCCTTTACATATCACATTCCTCCTTAGAACAATGGATAGTTCCTTTAAATCCTGAGAGGGGGAAAAAGTTTTAAAATTGTTTAAGGCGGGATTGAAAACTGGTCTGAAGGAATTTCCTTTCTGGGTATTACAAACATGTAGTCATGGGGACTAAAGGCATTATTTCTTCAGAATGAATGTATTTCAACTTACTGCTTCAGGTACTGAACATCTGATGAATGCAGTCAGATCCCAGCAGGGCTAAAGTGGCCGTGGATCTCAGCTGGCCAGATGCTGCAGACACAGCTGGTCACAGCAGCCAGGGCTGGCACTGCCAGGCCTTTGGATCAGGCACAGGGAGATGCAGCAGCTGCATTTCAGGCTGAGAGAGGCTGCATGGCAGCAACAGCCTGTGCCTGCAAGAAATACTGCAACTCTGGGCCAGATGCAAGAAATACTGCAACTCTGGGCCAGATGCAACCAGCACTGGGCTCATGCCATGTCCTCCTGAGGCTGTTTTGGTGAATTGGATACAAATCATTCCTGTATCAAATGAATTGTTGATCACAGTCTTAACAAGCAATTTCAGAGACCCATAAGGCCATACTTTCCATTGAAGGAATGGGTTAGGAGAGCACAGAGAGCTGAGCCCAGTGTGGCCCTGTGTGCTCTGGTGGGAATTTCCTTTGTTGTGTACAGGAAAGCAGGTGCTGCTTCTGCCAGGCACCCATCTCCTACGGGCTGCAGCCACTTCCAATCTCTGCACGTCCTTCTGGCAGCTCTCCTCAAGGCTAAGGAAAAAGAACTGCTGTAACCTTGTCCCCAGTTAGTTAAAACTTGCTCTAGTCCCACTGTGAATCACAGGTTGCCAAAGGCTCAGAAGATTCCTGGTTTTTTTTACAAAGAGCTGCAGTGAGGGGAGAATTGACCTGAACAGAGCAACCCCACCTCTGGGGTTGCCATCCCAGCACTGCTCCTCCCTCCTCTCCTTTGAAACCCCAAGTGGGAAGCTGTACCCAGACCTGTGTATGGCTTCTGACACTCTCTTGAAGTCTTATAAATGATACATTCATAAATCTGTACATGATAAATTAGGCTAATGACCTCTCCAAGCAGGCTGCAATGCTTGCCAAAACTAACACATAACTAAAGGCAGGAAATGAAATTCAGACTTAAAGGAGGAAACACAGGGCCCCATCATCACAGGGCTGCACAGGTAAAAGGTAAAGCCCACAAAGGCTGGATCTCTGATGGGATTATGGAGCAGACAGGCTGTCAGCAAACATCACCCCCCTTCCAGGCCCCAGGAAGCTGGAGAAGGGATGAGCATGAAGGAGCAGGGAGATGACTCAGACTGAGAGGGAGTCAGGCTCCCTGCAGAGCTGCTTGTTGGCACTGCAAATCCACATCCAGAGAGAATTCCTCATCCACCAGGAAACTGTGGACAGGTGCTGCCAAGCTCCAGCTGTTTCCCATTAGCATTGGCTCAGGGGTGGGGTGGCTATAAATGGCCCAGGGCAGGGGGGAGTCTGTCTGTGGGGTATCTGGTGACTCCCTGGGGCACCCTCTGCTTTTACAGCTGTATGTAGCATGGAATTTTTTTTTCCTCCCTTCTAGTTGAGAAATTTAATATAGAAGAGAGTGAGGGGAGGCTATGTGTGTTATTCTTTAGTATGTGTTTCCCTGTGTGATGGAAATAAGGGATGGTGGAGCTCTCTTGGAAACTTACTGGCAAAGGCAGTGGCTTCTGATTTGTACCTGCTTTATGCTAATAAGGCAAAAAGCAAAAATCTGTTTTTACTGGAGCAGTAGTGGACCTGGTAATTCTGGGGTGCTCTTCATTAACCAATGCTGTGTGGTTACACTGATGAATGACCAAGGTTTCTCTGTGTGTGGGATTGCAGAGTGTGGTCAGCAGAACTCATGCCTTGATGAAGAAGGCAAGAAGATAGTTTCTCTGTAAATAATGCTGTCTTTGTGTCTCTAACAAAACAGGCCAGTATCAGCTCTACCTGCTCTGTTTCATGTGCTAACATGGATGACTGGGACAACAACAATGAGTTCATCCAGCGGCTGGACTTTTCCAGCTGTGGTGAGGAGAGTGAAGAAAGAAGTGTAAACGAGGAGGACTCCCTGAGCCTGAGCCCCCCCAGAAGCTCAGAGTTCCAGAAATGGCAAGAGAGCAGTCCTCTGCCAAAAACCCCTCAGAGAAAGCTTAGTGAGATTTTCCTGAGCAGAACAAAAGCCTGGATGAGTCCCACCCTGAAGTCTTCCCCATCTGTGAGCAAGAGCTGGAGTAAACCTGAGACACCACTGCACATCACCTGGAAAAAGCTGCAGCTCTGTGACACCCCACACACTCCTAAGGTAATGGCAGGTCTGGGGGGCCTCTGCAGGAGAGAAATGCATCTCCCTTCAAGAAGCTTGTGGTTTGGGGGCAGCTTGGAGGTGGGCAGCTGCACCTGCTGCTCTCTTCAGCACATTTCTGGATGCTAATGGGTTTTGTGTTGGAAATTGGAAATGGTGTTATGGCTGGGATGTGTACTTCACCTGGCAGGAGTGGTCAGCTCCAGCCAGCTTGTTGTCTGGTGCCACAGTGTTCTTTTTGTGTGAAAGAGTTGCTCAGTGGATCTGAAGAAAGCAGGGCTTTGTTCTCAGGGCAGCAAATCTCCTATGGAAAAGGTAGCAAACCAATGTGAGCTGCCCCTCTTCACCTGTGTCACTGTCCTAAAATACAACTTAGCTACTGAGCCAGTTTCTTGAGAGAATGATCCCAGCCCCTATTTTATGCCTAACTTTTTGGAGAGAGTAGAATACAACTGCTTTTTGTCTTGAGTAAGCACAGGTGGAGACTTGGCACCAGCTTCTCTGTTCACAGATGATTTCTGGTGTGTGCATGGCTCCAAGCAGTCCAGGCCTGCAGTGGAGCGTGGCTGTTGCTCTTCTCTGTGTTCCTGCTCTACTGACAGATTGTTTGCTCCTTTGCTTAAGTGGCACACACAAGATCTGGGCTTTAATGCTTCTGAGCTAGGCTTTGACTTCTGTCCTCCTCCAAAAACCTGATTGTGTGGAGAGAAGGATGAACCTCTGGCCTTATATGATTGACTGTGTGGCAATATTTACTGAGGAATGGCCTGCACTCTCTAGGGGAAAGCAGTCTAAAGGGCATCACTCCAAAAATTTCCTGCAGTGAGTCTTTATAAGAAATCTCCCTAAATCTCACCTTAACATAGGTGAGAAGTTGTCCTTGCTTTTCACGGAGTTAATTTTGTCCTAGTAACTGGTACTCCATTGTGATTTTGGGCTTAAGGACGGTGTTGCTGAAACATGGTTGTTGCTGAGTGGTGTTTGCCCAAAGTCAAGGACTTTTCAGTTCCCCATGTTCTGCCAGTGAGCAGAAGCACCTGCAGCTGTGTGGCTCCAAAGCCAGGACAGCTGCCAGGAACAAATCAGAGGAAAGTTCATGCCATAGGATGTTGTGCTCAACGTATAAACAGAAGGAAATTAGCCGGGAGGGGCTGATTAGGGCCCAGGGATGGGCTGGACATCAGTCAGCAGGTGGTGAGCAATTGTGAATCACCTGGCTGTCTTGGGTTTTATTTCTCTTTTCACAGCAATAATAATGATTATATTTTATTTTAATCATTAAATTGTTCTTTCCTCATCCCATAGGCTTTACCTGTTTTTCCTTTTTCATCTCCCCATCCCACTGAGGGAGGCATTGTAGCTGTGAGCAAAGGGTTCAAAAGCAGAGGGCTTAGTTTCTGGCTGGGGTTAAACCACAGTAGAGGTGTATAAAAATCTTTTCCAGAGCAGATGGGCTGCAGGTAGGGAAGGCTGCTTTCAGGGTGTGCAATGTGTACATGTTGGCTGGATGATTCAAAACATGCTGCTCGTAGTTTGTGATCTTGTAGCCCATAAGCAATCACATGAAATCAACCATTTATTTTCCTTTCTCTCCTGGGATAAAGGTCTTGTTTTCCAAGCATGCTGCAAAAGATGAGCTCCAAAGGGCCTAAATCTGCTTGTAGACCAATCTGGGAGCGTTGGCCTTAGAACATTTGAAAGTGATAGAAAGGATGGGAGAGCAGAGCCCTGTCTAAAACTGCAGGCAGAGCCACCAGATGTGAGTGGAGATGTGGCTCCAGGATTGTTATAGTGAGATCACTGTGGGATTGAAAATATGAGTGCCTTGATCTTCAACAGGGAGACTTCTGTGTTCTTAAAGGGCTTTTAACTAGAAGAAAGCACAATGTTAAATGATCCTTTAAACTGTAAACCACTCTCTTGAAGCTGAAACAAGTTAAAACCAAATGTATTTTTTAAAAGCTGATGGTTACTGAAGGAGTCAAATCAGAGTGAGTAGATTTTTGTCTTCAGCTCAAGACTGCTGAATATACTTTGTATGGACCAGTGAGTAAAACACAATGGCCTGTGCTCTGTGCCAAGGGGAACTATAGAAGATCCAGAGCTTCTTTCTGAATTTATATTTCTGAAACTCTGGTTTTTACTCATGAGGAGAAATGGGTTCATTTTGCTTTGCTAGTAGCCATATAAAAAATATTTCTAGCAACTTCCCCTACCCTAATGCTGCTTAGTGCTGGGAAATCTGGCTGGTGTTCTAGGTCATCTCCTGACAAACTTGAACTGATGCAATGGTCCATGCCTGGCAGAACTAGGTCTTCCATGTTAATGGAACATATGATGCAATTTCTACCTCTCTGTAGGAGGGAAAGGGGAGCAGCTGGCTCCTCTTGAGGACTGTGATTGCCAAAATGGCTCTGCAGGCATTGCCCAAGCGAGCAGGGAATAGACTATGAAAGGGCTTAACCAAGAATGGAGTGCTTTGTGGAAAATGAAAACTCTGGGGACTAAACTAGGGACACAGGGCTTTAATGGTTCAGCTCTGCCAAGGAAGGGAGCCGAGTTCTCCTTGAGTTAGAGGAGAACAAGAATTTTATTTTGAAATAGCAACAAAAAAATGTCCTGGTTTATTTGCCACTTATTTTCCCCTCTCTCAACGCAGAGCCTGTTATCGAAGACAGCTTTTCCTTCATCTGCAACCAAGGTCCCGGCCAAAGGCCTCCGGCACCTGAGGCTCACTCCCCGCGCTGACCCTGAGGACTCCTCCCACGCTTCCCTTGTCAACATTAACCCCTTCACACCTGAGTCCTACCGACAAACGCTCTTCCATCCCAACGGCAAGAGGAAGGCTGCAGGAGAGCTGTGAGTGAGCTCCTCTTGGGCAGCAGGCTGAAATCAGGCTGCTGGGAGGGATAAGCAATGGAGATGTTCGGTATCTGGAATTGTTTGCTAACAATGAATCACCTGCTTCTGTGGTGTTCATTGGTGTAGAGTAAATGTTAGCAGATGTATAAAGGTAACAGAAGTATAAGTAAAAATCAGTCATTGCCTCTGTTCACAAAGGTAAGCGGGGGATCAAGAGCTCTCTGTAGTGCCGTGGCTGCAGCTTCAGCAGGAATAAGGAGGAGAATGATGCCTCTGGACTGTGCCATTCTGTCCTGTGGGCAGTGCTGAAATTGCTTTGTGAAGGCCTCCTAAATGGGAACAAAGAATTCCCAACCTGGGACTGCAGTCTTTAAGAGCTCAACTAAAAACTTGTCTATCAACTCTATAAAATTCATGATTAGGCTATGAAGCAAGGTTTGGAGGCTCATTTGAAAAATATTTTAATTTCAAACCCAGTTGGATTGCTGCACTGAAATGATAGACCAGACTTTCCTAATCTTCTGTTGTAGGAATGATCCTCATCCAGGAAGCCAGATTAAAAAGGAGCTACCTACAAAGGTGAGTGTCTGTACATTTTCCTCCCACTGAGTGGATAAGATGTTTGCAAAAGCTTGTTGTTTGATGGAATTTATTCTGTATTGGAGTACAAACCTCGGCACCGTGCCAGAGGATAAATACCTATAACAGAAAAGGTCTCAGCTGAATGTTTTGCTAACATTTGTTTGATATGACGAACTCGGAAAAGGTGGAATTGTTTGTAACTGCAACAGCCAGGTTTATGGAAGGACAACGGTACCCTCTAGCCGAGGAGACTGGGACTGCAGGCAGATGGCCTCCCTGGAAAAACTGCATCTGCAGAGCAAATCTGCTACCAGGCAACATCCAGGCTGCCACAGTTATTGTTTTACCTAGAAGAAAGCCTCAAGTAACCTGTGAATTACTGGAATATCATTCTGCTTGGTTGCTAATGACATTATGTAATATAGGTATAAAATTGCGTACTAGGAGGTATTTGTACTGCCAAGCTTTTAACCTAGTGCAAAATACAGCTGCCTTATGAAATGCAATCTGTTGGGAAGGGCTGCTGCTTCATGTGAGCCACATTTTACTGGCTGTGAGGACCAACTCTTACCTCCTCTTCTGTGCCATAAACTACAGCAATCACAGCAGTTTCTGTGGGAGCCACTGAGCAACATGAGCTGCTGTCCCTGTAAGGGATGGAGAAAAATCACTTAGACCACTCTTGTTGTTCACTTCATGCTCCAGTGCTTTTCTTTACTTACTTTCCCTGCCAGTAGGCATCACTCTCCCAGCAGTACCAGCAGCTCCTAGATCCCTAGTGGCCATTATTGTAGCAATAATTATGTTCCAGCAGTTCTGCCAGCTTTCAGCTCTTTGTGGAAAAGTGTCTCTGGGTGAGATATCAGTGGGAATACAAACAAATACACTGAGAGCAGCTAATCTGCCATTAGCCAACAGCTGGTGCTTCAAACCTGCAGAGCCTGAGCTGGTACAGAATGGCCTTGGCTGCAGGCAACCTCAGCTGCCAGGGCAGAGCTGCTCTTGCATAGCTGGGCTCACACAGAGCCAGCACACCAAGCTCCTCTCCTGAGCTCAAAATGGGCTTCTCTAGTCCTGTCTTTAGGCCAACACCTTGTTATTGCCTACTGTTCATCCCTGAGTGACTCCATCAGCTGTAAGAACTGGTCTGGGTTGTCAGGAGAAAGGATTTCATGGCAGTAACCCAAGGAGGCTTAGGCATATACACCCAACTGGACTAAATTTCTCCTTAACTACAATTTCTGCCTCTAAGGATAACAAGTCCTGATTATATAAAGCCAACCAGCCTTGCAACTTGGCCAACCCAGGGAAGGTGGCCTTAAAGTGGTCACAAAAAAACAAGTGGAAGGTAATTTCAAGAACTGAAATTCCTGTTTCAAGAACTGGCCACACACCTGCACCTATGCCTGGATGAGCACCCAGAATGGGAGAGGGAGCAATGTGGGTGCTCAGTGACAGTGAGTGTTACACACCTCTAAAACAATGACAGCTATTGAGGCTTTCAGCTCCTGTTTGTCTCTGCTGTTTTTGCCATTTTGCAGAGGTACACTCTGAAGGCGAGCAATATGGTTTCCCGCTACAAGAAGGAGTTCCTGGAACTAGAAAAAATCGGTGTGGGGGAATTTGGCTCCGTCTACAAGTGCATCAAACGCCTTGATGGATGTGTTTATGCCATCAAACGCTCCAAAAGGCCTCTGGCAGGATCCTCAGATGAGTGAGTGTGCTTGCTGGAATCTGCCAGTTGAAATGATGGGCATGTTCTTGAGAGGTGTGATGGGAAGGAGGGAGTGTGGATCTAAAAGTATCTGATGGGTGGCATGAGCAAGAATTGGCTGCTGCTGCACACAAGTAACAGCTGGGAGCGTGGGGGAAGATACCACTACACAACTATTGGATGTAAATGTCTGGGGAAGGAAGAAGTTGCATGCACTGCAAAGTGAGGATACCTGAACACCTTGGGTCCATCCAGACAGCTTCTTTACAGTAACTGTCAAGTTTATTTGACAGACATACTGCTGTCCCTGCCTTGTGTATGGCCAGCACTGCTCTTATCTGTATTGACCAGCTTGTGGTGTCCTGTAGCTAAAGCAAAGTCTTTGAAGCTGCTCTGCCTTTGCCTCTTTAACAAAAGACTTGCCTCAGCAATTATTTTCTTTAACAGCTGCTCAGGGCATTTGAGCCAAGGGCAGGTTTTGCCAGTCTGTCTGTCAAAACCTGAGAGAAAGGGGGAGCAGAGGGGTTCAGGACTTTGACAGGGCTCCTCTCCTGGAGCCAGGAATCCTCTGGCAGTCTGTCAGCTCAGCTGTGTCCGTGTGTGTCCCCCAGGCAGCTGGCCCTGCGGGAGGTGTATGCCCACGCCGTGCTGGGGCACCACCCCCACGTCGTGCGCTACTACTCGGCCTGGGCGGAGGACGACCACATGATAATCCAGAATGAGCACTGCAATGGTAAGGGTGCACTGAGCTCGAGGCTGAGAGCCCAGCATGGGCAAAGCTCCCTTCTTCTGTACCTTAATGTGGGTGTTGTGGCTCCCAACAAAGCAAACTGCCCTGGGGCTGCATTTCTGTGGAGAATCCAGTAAGGGCATGTAATATTTAGGTGAAGCTCTGAGTGGTGCTAATGTTTAAGAAGCAGTGAAATGTTGTGTTTCTGGGGTTTGAGAACGGTTTCTCTGTTTTAACTGGCCTGGAAAAGCCAGACTGATGCTTAGGGTTGTGCTGGGACTGTCCAGGTAACACCTGATATGAGTGACCCAAGAGCTGCTCACCTAAGGGCCATGTATCTTGGCAAAACTTCCTCTTAACGGAGGTGGGTGGTGACTGGATGAAGGCACCTTGAATCCTGACTAGAAAAAAGGGGCTTATAGCTGCAGAGGGATGGAGTAAATGATGAGGCGAAGTACAAATGGGGTGCTGCAGGATGGTAAACTCCTACTGAAGTTTGCCCTTGGCAATACCACTGCTTGAGAGAAATGGGGAAAGGTGCCTTTAGCTACCAGAGTTGCTGAAAGCAAATATGTAATGCTCATCTTTTGACTGCAGCTGTAGTCTTGGGGCACAATGAAGAGTGGTGACAGCTGTTTGGAGTATTGCTCTAAAATCTGGTGGAGGCAAACACAAAATGTGCTCATTGCTGCAGCATCAGTGCATTGCTTGTGTTCTGGTGGCTGAACATCTGAGGCTGATGGAGACACAAGCTATGATATCTTCTAGCTCTGAAATATCCATAATGTCTCAATGGACACCCACAAAACTCTATCAAATGTTAATGCTTTTCAGTCAAAAATTTGCTAGTGGGAACTTAATTTCCTTGTTCCACCACTCCTACACCTGCATTCTGCATCCAAGCACAGCAGAAGCAATTAATTTTTCTGTTGTTCACTTGCAGCAGCACCAGCATCACTAACAGGTCAGCCCTCCAGGCAGGATGTAGAGCTGTAGGCTGGGGGCAGAACTGCAGTTGGCATCCTTGCTGGGCATTCCAGGGCAGTGGGGAGGCTGAAGCCAAGTGGTGATGGCCAAGTTTGCTCACTAGAGCACACAGAGCTGCTGGGATTGGGGTTTGTCACTAGCCAGCCTCTTGTTGTGGGCAGCTGAGCTGTTTCCAACATGCTGTTCCATAAAACCTCTGTCAGGTCTCAGACTGACTGTTTTCCCCCAGGTGGGAGTCTCCAAGATGCGCTGCTGGAAAATGCAAAGCTTGGGCAGTATTTCCCAGAAGCAGAGCTGAAGGAAATATTGCTGCAAGTCTCCATGGGACTAAAATACATCCACAACTCTGGCCTTGTGCACCTGGATATCAAACCTAGTAAGTAGAGTGCCCTTCTCCTTTGTGGAGGGTTTCCTAGTGATCCCTCAGGGGTAGGAGATGTAAGAAATCCTTCTGAGTGGACTGACTGTAGTGCTCCAAAGAAAAGAGGACCTTGCCCTTGTCTTGTGTATGGTTTTGTTTTTTTTTATTTTTATTTTGATTTATGCCACTACTGCTGCTCTAAAACTGAGATTTTTCTGATAGTTGGCAGCATTTTACTCCTGTCTCATGACCTCTGTAATCCTAGCTCATGGGAATCACCTTCATACTGATGGAGCAAGTAGGGCTGCCAGGGAAGATGGGCACTTCTTTATTTACTGTTGTGTTCCTGCACACACTTGCCTTTTGTGTGTTTAGCTACCTTGGGGGGGGTTAAGTTCCTGCAAAAATGGTAACAAGGTTTAACAAAATAATAAAAAGTAAAATAATATTTAAAAAAAAAAAGTAACAAGGTTTCCTCTCTGCAGGATGGTCACCTCCAGGGCAATGCTTCCCCTTGTCACAGAGTTAATATTTTTAGAGGGAACTCCTTTTTCCTGCTGAAATGATGCTTCTCCCATGGAGGGCAGAGGGAGAGGAAAGCTGATTTCACTGGGATATTTTATGCATGAGAAACAACTGTCTTATGCCAGCTGTGTGGCTGGATGTGAGCTGGGCAGAAAGCTGACTGCTGGGTGGGAAGCAAGTGCGTGATTTCTCTGGCTGCAAAGCTCAACTACTCTGACAGGTGGGATTTTGACAACGTTGTCAGGCTGCTGCATTGCTAAACTTCTCTGTCTTGCAGGTAATATCTTCATCTGTCACAAGCTGGCAGTTTCAGGCCCTGCTGGGCAGGAGGAGAGTGACAGTGAAGATGAGTTCTCTCCTGGTGTGGTGTATAAGATTGGTAGGTTTTAGCCTACTTTACAGCTGGCCTAAGGTTAGGGCTGCCCATTACTGCCTGAGACTGCTGTGTCCTGTGGCTGAAGGGACTTGCACACAGAACTGATAGCATGGTCATGAATGCCCCAGTTACTCACCAGGATTAATTCCTCTAAGAAGACAAGTCACAGGAAATTCATGTGCTTGTTTCCAAGTGCAGGTTCCTGAGTTAGGAGCAGGCTTGCTCTATTACTCAGTATTTCTCTGTTGGTGCAGGCTTTTATTGGAGAATTACTTCAATTTGCTTCATTACATTTCAGCTGCTTGTTCTCTGTCTCAGGTGACCTTGGGCATGTGACATCAATAACAAACCCTCAGGTGGAGGAAGGAGACAGACGGTTTTTGGCCAATGAAATTTTGCAAGAGGTAAAACTGCTAGAGCTGGTCAGTAGGGAGAACAAGTGGGGAGAGATCAACTGCAGAGCAATCATTAGTCTAGCTTGTTCCTTACCTTATCTCCTCTGACTTGTTCCTCACCTTATGCCCTCTTTCTTCTGTCTGGTCTGGCTGTGAAATCTGTGAAATTAGCACTTTATCATGAACAATAGTGGTGTGAGTCTTATCATGTAAATACTTACTTAATATGTAAATACTTCATAAGTAGCTATCATTGGATTATTGCAACTATTCCCCTTGAGGGATCAGTGAGACAAAACCTTTATCAGTTTAAAGACCCTTGATTTGCATATCCAGCTGAGATGAAACTACTGGATGTGATTATTGAGGAATATATTTACCCAGGCAGATGCCTTGTAAAACAAACATTGAACAAATAGTGGTGGGAGGCACAACACACCTCCTAAACTGACTGTGGTTTTGACACTTGGCCAACAAATGAAAAGGGAATCAGGATTGAACAACCAGCTTGGATGTGTTTTCAGTTCAGGTATTTAAGGGGCAGTGTCTGTGCTGCAAGTGGATTTAGGAACTGTTGGGCCAATGTATCAGATGCAGCCTTCAGTCTGAGTTGGGCATGGGTAGCTTTCTGGTGGAGGTTGGAGGTACACATGTTAGGCCATCCTCTGGAGCCACTGCAGTGATCCCCACGTGGCCTGCAAGGTCCTTATGGCTGGCTGAGAGCCAACGTGCTGGTGGCTACTGGCACTGCCTGCTGCCGGTGTTTTCATCCTGAAGAGCAGCAAACAGCTCGCTGAAGGCAGTGCTACATACACACACTTGCTTGGCTGTTTCTTTTTGGGCTCATTCCCCAACTCACCTTTGCTTAGTGCAGCAAGGTGTTCCTTTCTAACACCCTTCCCTTCTCTCTGCAGCAATACTGCTACCTGCCCAAGGCAGACATCTTTGCCCTGGCACTGACGGTGGCTCTGGCAGCTGGGGCAGCGCCACTGCCCCACAACGGGGCCCTGTGGCACCACATCCGCAAGGGCAACGTCCCACCCATCCCCCAGAAGATTCCCCAGCGTTTTCTGGAGCTCCTCAAGGTGAGGCAATATTCTTGACAGGATGGTGGCTTTTGCAGCTGGCATGTGACAGGAATGTTAGACTCTGAACTCCTTTGTCTTCCAGCTCATGATCCACCCTGACCCAGCACAGAGACCTTCTGCCACGGCTCTCACCAAGCACCCTGTTCTCCGTCCTTCCTCTGGAAAAGCTGTGCAGCTCCAGGAGCAGCTCAATATGGAGAAATGCAAGACTGCCATGCTGGAGAGGTAGGGCTGGCTTGGGCGTGAAGGTGAGAAGGTGTGGGCACAACCATGCTGGCCACCAGCTTTGAGTGGAGGGTGATCGTGCTGGGAGAATGCACATGCAGAAATCCCCAGCCAGTTCCTGTGCCTGGAGCTGGGGGATGATGGGGATGTAAAACAGGGACCTGCAGTGCTCAGGCAGCAGCTGTGCTTCAGCTCTGGCTTGGAGGAGCTGGCTGAGTTATAGCAGTGAACTCTGCACTTCCTGCAGCCACTGGTGGTGCAAAATGCTGATACAACCTGCAGCCAGTGGGCAGACGAGGAATTGATAATGCACTGAGAGAGTGGGCTAAGCATAGAAGGAAGAGAAACATCAGGTGGTGGCAGATTTCCCTTGTTCCCTCTCACTGCCATTGGCAGCAGTGTTTTGGGGGGCTGGGATCTATCTAAGAACTGCCCCACAACCCCTCTAAGTGCAGTGCTCAGCTGGGGAGGAGGTTTTCTGTGTAGACAGAAGAGTGAATGCTCTGGAAGAACAGCAAGTACCAGAAAGGGAAGAAAGGCAATGGAAAAGAAGAATTTGCCATTATTTAGCTATTATATATTTATGAGATGACATTGATCTAAATTTCAGTACTCATAACTATCTGAAACAATGGGAGAAAACCTGAGCCAGGTGTTCCCCATACTGGTGCCAGTGTGTTGCTGACCCGATACATGGTTTTCTTCTGGAAAATCTTCAGAGCTCCTACCTTTTCAAACAGAAACTCTAGAGACAGCTACAGTAATCTTCATGTTACCCTCTGGGCTGAGAAACTGCCCCTTTCCAGCAGTGCTGGAGTATTACAGTAACCCTCTTGTGCAAGATTGTTCATAGCTTGCTTCTGTAGCTGCTGGGGGTTCATGCCCATGACATGACATGGTTTTCTTCCTTTCCTCTTCCCTCGTCTCCCCCCTGCAGGGAACTTAAAGCAGCTCGACTTGCCCAGAGCCTCATGAAGGACCAAGCCTTAGGAAGTGCCAAGTTACAAGAGTCTGAAACCTCTTCTAAGCAGAAGAGCAAGCGTCTGGTGGGAGGGAAGAGCTGTCGCTCCTTTAGCTTTACTCTGGGTTTCTGAATTTCTGTGGTGTCCAAAGACTGCGAAATGGCCCTGTGAAAGCAGAGGGTCTGCACAGACCAATGCCCCATATTCTCTCCCCGTTTCTTTTGCTTTTGTTCCCCTATTAGTTATGATGAGATGGCTGAGACTGACTTACAAGTGTTGGATAATGGGATTTAAGGTTGTCCTCAGTCTTTTACTTGTTTAATTTCTTGTGTAATTTGCCTTGCTATAGACTCAGTAACTCTGCCATGACAAAAGAATGACACATTCTCTACTCACTTCCCTCTTTCTTGAGTTGGGCCCTGTTATTGGTGATTTTGTGGTCTTAACACTTGGGCTGACTGTATTTTTAGAGAGGTGATGATGGCTGTCCAGGGAGACAGCAGCTACAGCTGGCCCCTTCTAGGAGCAAGCAGGCAGAGACTACAGCAGCCAGTTTTAGCTACACATCAGGAGCCAGGCTGGTTACACACAGCTGTCCTGGGGGCTCAGGATGCAGCTGGAGTGGTGTTTCACTGAGGGGGGACACGGAGTCATAGGAAATACCTTGAGTTAAGGACTGGGAGTTGAAGAAAAACATTCTTTGAAATTTTTGTAACTGGGTGTGCTCTAACAGACCAGTTAGTCCCTGATACGCGACTCGTTTTCTGTCAATCGGGGAGGATTCCTTGTTTGCCTGGGGGAGACAGCTGCAGTGTGTTGGTGGCTGGGTCTGTCTTTACCCAATTCCTCTGCAGTACCTCCCAGGTGCTGCAGCTGCCTGCCTGTGAACTGCAGCCTTTCAGCAAAGATGAGGGCAATTAGAGCTTTTCCAGCTTTTTGGAGTTGCCCTTGTTGATGGCTGTATGTATTTTGTATTTGAGGTCTCATGCACCCTTCCCCCTCTCCCCGCTAAATGTAACTCTGGGGGTCCTTGTCGCTTGTTTGTGTTGGACAGAGCGCTGCACTGCTATGAAGGGAGCGCTTGGTAACTCGCTCATTTACAGCTGTTACTGGTTTGTTTGACGATGTTGCACACGCTGGCTTTTAACTGTTCGATCCTATCGTTTCGTGCGAATAAAGCTTTTATCATTTTTTAACCGATGAGACGGAGTGATGCAATTTTGTTGGTTACTATTTTTTTTTTTCCCCTCCTGGACCTCGGGGTCCCCCGGGGGCCGGGGCTGCCGGCGCTGCCGGGCTCTGAGGCGCTTCCGCCCGGAACCCGCGGCCCGGCCCTTTCCTGTTCCGGCGGCCGGGGCGCAGCGCGGCGGGAGCGGGGTCGGGGCTCTGTGGGGCGCTGCTTCAGCCCTGCTTTTCCCTCCAGGTGCGGGCCCGGCGGCAGCATGTGGCGGCGACCGGCGTGGCAGGTAGGGCCGTGCGGGCTCGGGGCGGCGGGGGAGCGGCGGCTGCGGCCCCTGGAGCGGCTCTCCGGACACGGAACAGCGCTCCGGGAAGGGGAGGGGCGGACAGAGCCCAGCGCCCGGAGCCCTCGGCCGGCCGTGCCCGCTGGGCCGGGGCCCCGGCGCTGGGTCTGCCCTTGGGGGGAAACAGCGTGAGCTCTGGAACCACCTGCTCGGGGAAATGAGCCGTTTTTCCAGTTCCTGCACGTGGATCTCTAGCAGAAGTGCTTCTAGGCTTTTTTCCCCCTCCTTTCTTCTAGGATGGAATATTTGCAGTTCCAGTACAGCTTTCCCACTTACGGTACTGAGAATTTTGTCCTCGACTTGCCTTGGGAACAGGGGTGTCAGTGCATCCGCTGCTCGTTCCAGTGGATGGATGTATTTTTTGGGCACACCTGGTTAATCTCTGAAATGGAGCAGAACGCAGACCTGTTTGTTTCCAAAGACTAAAGCTCAAACAACTAAACCCCCACTCTCCTACAAACCTCCTCCCATCTTATTTACATATTATAGAAAAGCAGTAGTTACCACATGTACCAAAAATAACTGCTGGAGGTGTACCTTTGGGCCACACTTTTTTTCTAGGCACTCTTTAACTTTGATTTAACCAGATGTTCTTTAAGTAATCTTACTCACTTCATTTGGCTGAACAGATTTCTTTCCTCAGGTCCCCCATTAGTTACCTGGCAAAGAATATACTTGCAGAGCCTTTGCAAGTGCTCAGAAGATGAGGTGTAAAGGCTTGTGAATGCTGTTCCTAGTTTGTGTCTTGGAAACTCACATTTCTCTGTTCCTTCAGGTGCTACGCCAGTTTGTAAGACATGACTCTGACACGGTTAACTCACTGGTACTTGAGAGATGTAAGTACCCCTGAGATGCAGTTTAGTTGTTAGTCATGGTGTTTATCTTGGTTTTAGGATATCTGAAATAGGGCAGGAGAGAAGCAGTAGGAATGGCGGCTCCTCAGTGTGGCACCCAGAATGTGTTGTTTCAAGCACACAGTCTTGAGTGGGTTCATGTCTGGTCTCTGTCAGCTGAAGCAGCACTTTAGGGGGAAAAGAAAAAAGCCCTGACCAAGACTGCCACTCTATAGGGCAGACAGCTGTGCTTTATCTGTGGCAGTGGTTTGGATCTGCTGTTGGCATGGTTTCTGAAGCTGCCTTCAGGTGTCTTGTGTGCTTGTTTCTCACACTCCTGGGTCCCTGGGGCCCTTGTGTGTGTGCTGCTGCCCCAGCAGGGTTTGCTGCAGGTGTACTTCAGCCTTCACTGTGCACTTCCCATGCTCATTGTGCACAAGGGATACTTCCCTGACCTCTTCCAGTTGTCCTTGAACGTGGAGAAGGAATAGACTGTGTCTGCCTAGGCCTGGTAATGGTGTAAAAACTGACTCTCTTTCAAAGGATGAAGTACAGCAATGCAACTTTGTTTCAAAGGTACTGCTGTGCACTGTGTTTTATCATTATGAAACAAATAAAAGTCACATAAATGCCATTTAGTCTCAAGTGATACATGGATGTGAAAGAGATGGAACAGAGAGAATAAGGAACCTTTGGCTTTTTAAATCAGCTAATTCACAGTGATAGTTGACTGTGTCTGTACTGTCATTATCTGCTGGGGCCTGAAAAAGCCAAATGTCACAAGAGTTTAAAAAGTGCTCAGGAGGTGCAGAAAGTTGTAATCCTGGCCCTTGAGAAAAGCTGCTGACTGAGGGCTTTCCGTGTTTAGGAGCATCATAATTCACCTGTGTGTTTGCTCTCTCTTGTTTCAGCCATGAATCGTGTTCAGCTGCTCGGTCGGGTTGGACAGGACCCTATCATGAGGCAAGTGGAAGGAAAAAATCCTGTTACCATATTTTCCCTTGCAACCAATGAGATGTGGCGGACAGGAGACAGTGAAGTGGGCCAGGGAGGTGAGTCTGCACAATGTGTCCCAGGTCATTTGCACACTGGCAAGTCTGGGGTGCAGGAAGGTTCCTTTGAGCTCAGCAGAGATGCTGGGGCATTTGTGTGTGTCTCACTGATGGGGAAAAATTAATAGCATGAGCAGTGTGTTACAGAAAAAGCAATGTCTTGGTTTGAACTGTGCTTCTGCACAAGAATTTGTTTGGACAAGGATGAGTGGAACATTTAGTTCTGGAGTGAAGTGGGAGATGGAGTGCTAGTAAACTTCTGCTTTCAAATCACTTCTCATAATTTGAGAGTACCAGTGTGTTGAAACTAATTTGAGTTTTGCATCACAAAGAGGATTTGGCATCCAGCTCTGTTACTTCTGTGTACCTTAGGTGATGTCAGTCAGAAGACAACGTGGCACAGGATCTCTGTCTTCAGACCTGGCCTCAGGGATGTCACCTATCAGTATGTGAGGAAGGGGTAAGTGAATAACAAATGTGGGTGAGGATTTAATGCCTTAATAATGCATTACTGTAATAATTATGGTGACCAGGAACTGTAATAAGATACAGGTGGCATAAAACAAGTTAGAGCAGCTAAAAATAACTGATGCAAAAGCCTGTGTACTTTGAATCAGATTCTGAATTCAGCCTTTTCATCAGTAAGTGTAGTGATAAGACAAAGAGTCATGAGCTCCAAGTGAAAGAGGGGAAATTTAGGTTGGATATATGGATGTAAGCCTTACTGTCAAGGTAGTGAGGCCCTTGCACAGGTTGCCCAGAGAACCTGTGGGTGCCCCATCCCTGGAAGTGTTCAGAGTCAGGCTGGATGGGGTTTGAGCAGCCTGATCTAGTGGATGGTATTCCTGCCTGTGGCTTGGAACATGTGGTCTTAAGGATCCCATTTTAAATTAAATCCCAAATCAATTACAGAGTGGAAAACAGCAGCACAGTTCTCTGACCAAAATCAAATTCTTGTTTTTTTCAGCTCTCGAATCTTTGTTGAAGGGAAGATAGATTATGGTGAATACACAGATAAGAACAATGTGAGGCGACAGGCCACAACAATTATAGCAGGTAAGAAGCAAAGTACCAAGGTGCCTTTTGCTCTTTTAAAACAAAGGAGGGTGGAGAACCTCTGAAATGAAGCTTGGTTTGTCTTCATCCTCAGTATCCACACTCAGGGATTTAGAGAGAATGGATAGTGTGTACCAGCAGATTTCCTCTGGCACTGCTTGTGAACACACAGAAAATGAGAATATCCAGTTGTAAACTGTTGGTGTCATTGGCTTACCCCACAGGATGGATAAGGAGTGGACTTGTGCCTTGACACACAACAAAAAAAACTAGGAAACTCAACTTCTTCCTTCAGCCTTTAAATAGCCAGAGCATCCTGCAGCATCTTTATTGTGGATAGAGCTGCTCCTGTGTTGCTTTTGAATGAGGGATGAATTAATTGGGTAGTAGAGCAAACATTTCTGTTACACAAGTATGTCTAAAAAAAATAGGACAGGGGAAAAGGAAGGGGAAAAAAAAGGAAAAACAACAGTCATGTAACAGTCATATTCCTGGATGTTTTTCTGCAGCCTCTTTAAAAGCTAGCAGTGCTATAAATTACTGGAAGGGAGAAGCAATTCTCTTTTTTAATTAGTATTCTCCTAATGGTTTCTTGTTCAAGAGGCCCAGTCTCAAGGCACTTTGGAAATTCCTTAGGTTTGATGAAGTAGGAGCTTCCCATAGTCCTGCAGGCTTTTGACATGGTATATTGTATAGTATGTAGAGCAGAGTGAACATGACAAAAGAAAAGGGAAATAAACTCTAACTAATGGAGATTGTAGTCAAAGAATTAAACCATTAT